CAAAAAAAAATATTTGTGAAATTTATGTTCTGTTATTTTTCTTTTCGATTTTTTTAGAGCTTCCTCAACAACCAGTGAGCTGGTGCAAAGTAGAGGTTGGTATTCTCACTGCTGGAGCGTTTGCAATATGTATCAAATGTTTTCGGTAAAATGTCTGAGGCTTTGAACAACGCGAGTCGGTGAGAGGTCTGGTACTGATGAGTACTAGCCCCCTGGCAAACTACTCCTTGACTTGTCCCAAATCTTCCAGCGGGCGGAGAAAAACGCCCGTCTTGTAGGGTACTAACGAGGACTGCTGGCAGGCTCAAAAGCTAACAATGCCAATGGCCATTTAGATATGATTTTAAACGAAATTTACTTTAATTTTTTTTTTTTTCGACATGGTGTCTTGTAGGCTGTAGTCCCCAAACCTGACCTCCTTGAAGTAGCAAGTCAACAGGATCCACCCCCGCCTATGGTAAGAACAGAGATAAAGCAGAGTTTGTTTTTAAAAAATGCCGATGTCAGGATTTTCATTTAAAAAAACCTAGTTGCAGCGAACTAGGGGAAAGCAACAGGACCCAGTTATTCAAAGGGCGGATAACGCTCTCCAACGGATAAATCGCAATTCTGCGGATAAGAGTAAACAAAACGTACTGCGCTGTCCACCGGACACAGATTTGTCCTTTGTCCATTGGATGGATCTTCATTCGGTGTATAGTCATCCATCCTTGGGCCTAGCGAATGCTCTCTAGGCTGAATGAAAAGAAAACCAAGGCACTGAACTTTAGCCAGAGGATTTTCTGATCTTTTTGTGTACTGAACGCGTTACGTTGTGTCGCAGTGGCTCTATAAGATGCTGCTAACATGAAGAATTTTATACTGTTTTTCTTTCTTCTTGTAGGTTGTCATGAGCCTCAGTTTTCGGACAATGTTGAACACCAAAACTCACACACATGAGGTGAGCTACAATAGTTCATTGAAATCTTGAAATAGCCTTGAACTGGTCTAGCTTACCGTAAAGTCTCTCTGGCTCAGTGATAGTACATCGGAGCCTGGAATCCAATGATCTAAGGCCTGATTCCTCATAAAGACTCAGAACTTTTTCTTTCCCCCACGGTAGTGACACGACTTAAAAACATCATCCTTTGAGTTTTTCCATGTTTTGATTTTAGATCTTAGCTGTGTCAGCTCTGGTTCACCATCAAGTGTCATTAGACAAAGCTGCACCCAAACAGAAGTTTCACTATCATTTCTGTGGTGAGTTTAACAACCACACTTACTTATAACTTTAATAATAACCTTATTGAAAATGAAACGCCTGTGATGATATTTTGAAATTAGCAATTACTTAGATAACCCGAATACAAGGAAAATTACTTGGAAAAGAAGCTAAAATTTCAGTGTGGTAATTTTACGCATTATACACAAAGATAATAATTTATTTGGACCACAGGAATAAATCCGAAGGCGTGATGTTCGATTTCTCTTGGGGACTCTTAATGATTTCTTTGCCGTCCCACGCTCGTGACAATACAACAAGCATCTTTCTCCACTTCTTTACCGAGCACAAAACTTACCATCTTTCTTACATTATTTACAGGATAAATTTGATTGCAGAATGAGAGTTTAAATCCACAACCCATTCAATTTTCGCGTAAATCAGATTTGGGTAACATTTCGGGTCTGCCCGATTTAAGACGGCGTCCTCCGATTTTGGTCTTTCTATCATGGTTCTGTTTCATGATTCCATGTCAGGTTTTCACGACTTTTTTGAGACGTCTTATTCGATACAATCACAGCTGCATATCTTTTACTTTTCTGTTTTAGCTGTAAGTAAACCCAACGATCAGATGTATCCTTACGACTTTAGAGATGCTGTCAAAAAGAAGGTAAAAAAACAAAAAATACTTGCCAACTCTACCCGATCATTCACGAATTCCAGATAAAAGTTACTTAGCCTGTGCTACAGGTCACCAAACCACTCAGGTAGAAGTGCCAGAGTCACGTTCAGCGAAGACAAGCAAGAACGCGGGCGGGCAAAATATGGCGGGAAAGTCAACCGCCCCAGTCAAGTTCTTGTACTTTATCGCGCGTCTCCCATGACCGCAACTTTGATCAGTTCCATCCAAAAAACGTGACATATTAAATCTGTATTTTTTAAAAATCTAAAATCGTTTAGGTTTCTATGCTCTTCCCACCTCATGTGCGTAGTGTGTGTCAAATGAAGGAAACTAAGCTCTTGCAGCATAAAAGCAACGGTTTGATCGCAAGACAATAGATGTGAGGCATCTTCCCTGACGGGAGAGGGGACAGTGCAGAGGAAGGTTTCCTCGGAGAGGGGGGTGGGGCGCGCGGCTCGGTAATTGGCAGGATTTGACATCTATGCAAACTCGACGAGCAATCTATAGGCAGTTCTCTTTAATTTCTAATCGTTATCTCATTAGCAAATAAACATGGAGATTACGACATCAGAGAGGGCTCTTTTAGGACTCTTCATGGCCAAGATGCACCGAATTGACCCGGATGTACTTGTGGTATGCGACCTTTATGTTTGAAGTGTTTTTTCAAAGTGATGTTACACCAGTTTGCAAAAGGAGAATGTTTAACTGACATTATAGTAATGTAGTTTTAGAATTTACTCGATATTCAGCTCTAGCGCACACAAATTTCAAATTCAAATGTATATAGTCGCATCCATTCGGAATTTTCATTGTTGAAGTAGCTATAATAACCCGGAATATTGATTTAATTTTTAGCGAACAGGCAGTGTGAGGTCAGAATCATGGCGCCTTTACTTATAAATGGATTCTTGTTGTTTGAGTCGAAAAAATGTCTTCATCATTAATTCTACCACTCATTTTTCCTGTCTTTTTTTCTTTTTTTTTCTTTTTTTGCTTAAGGGTCATGATATCTACGGCTTTGATCTCGATCTTCTGTTGCACAGAATCAGTGCTTGTAAGGTGAACATTACAGCTTAAACAATCCACTTCTGAACAGCGCGTTAGCAAAACAAAAGGATGATTCATTCCAAAACCCTCCAGTCCTTGGGGAAGAGCAGTATACCTCATTACTATACAGTTGGATCTGCAAACGGTCAAGATGATGGGAATCCTTCATTCTGATCCGCTCTTGTTCGTTATTGCCTGCTGCCCCTGCAAAAGCCAAGTCCTTTTGCCATACGAAAAAGCTATTAATGACCAATTTCGTTCGTCGACCAGATTTTAGCGTTTTTAATCTTTTTACGTATCATAGAAAAATGAAAAAAGAAAACAAAACTTAATACTCAGTATCTTGTGATCTTGACCACATGTTCGGTCAATAACATATGTGTATAATGTTTCTAGGCTCAGTGCATAGGGTCAGTTCTTTCCTATCCTGAAATCTGTGGTTATCTTTCGTTTCGCGATGATGTTGCACATAATGTCAGAACGTCTATTAAGATTTTTTAGAATTAAAACTGAATTCGGTTAATGTATGATTTTTCTCTAGATTCCCCATTGGTCTCGCCTTGGACGACTGAAGAGAAGCGTTATGCCCAAGCTTTCTGTAAGTGTCTCGTTCTCATCTTTATATTCAGAGCGCACAAAAAAACTAACTCTCCACTTTTAAGTTCAAATTCTTGACCTAGGTTTTGATATTTGATATAGTGGGCGTAGCATAGCAATCGCCGTTAGCACGCTATTGTCATGGGGAAATCGCGTTAAACCTCTTTTTTGGAACGGTCTCGAAAAATCTTTAACAAATTTTTTTCTGGATTTTGCCTTTTGAGGTGATCCCTTCCTGTTTAGTGAATCGCAACCAATAAAATATAGCCGTTTCAAAATTATGATGCCGCTAAGTTTATCGCTGATGTATCAGCTGCAACATGATACTGTAATGGAAAGAGCTTTAAATTAAGTTATTAAATTCCTTATGTACATCGTTACTTGAGTTAATTTCCAACGTTTGTGACAGAATGGTGGACCAGGCAGAAACAGCAGTCTTCTAGATCGTTCCGTAACTTGTGGACGGATGGTGTGCGATGTGAAGATCTCGTCAAAAGAACTCATACGATGCAAGAGCTATGATTTGACAGGTTTGCCGCCATGATATACCAACTTCTCCATGTTAACTTTCCCATTACTAGCACAGAGTCGAAATTGTAAAGGTTTAAGTTAGGTTTTACGAAAATCGAAACTAAAAGTGCCTGGGCTTTGATGTCGCTATTTAAGTGGTCGCACACCACAGTTTTATCAACGGACTGTAAAGTCAAAACCACTTTGCACAGCACAACAAATAGAAAAACACGAAAAAATAGCGTTGTAGCGTACATTTATACTTTACGTAAAAGTTTGATTAAAATATTTGCTAAAACGTAAAATTAAACGCTCGTTTATTTTCAACTTTCTAGCATTATCGTGGGCTGTTCTTCAAGCAAGAAGAGAAGAGTTTGATCAAGATGAAATACCAAACAAATACAAGTGAGTTCCCCCCCACTTTCCCTTTTTCCTACAAAACGAAGTCAAAGTAAACTTTGACTTTGTACAAATTTTAGGGCCCAGTCCTTTGCGAGCTGAACCCCAGATCAGGAAGTCTGGGTTGAAGCTCTGGCCACTTCGAATTCATTGAGTTTTGTTGTCAGGCAGGGTACTTCACTCGCACAGTGCCTCTCTCCATCCAGGAGTAAAAATGGGTTCCAGTAAATAAACGCTTGGCGTTAACCTGAGATAGACTTGCTTTCCTTTCAGAGGGAGTACTATTATAGTCTGTTCATGCTGTCCTGGGAGTAATATTAATCCTTTTTTGCTTTATGCTACCCAAACCGGGATTAGCTTCTACATTGTGGGCCGCATAGCCCGTGTGTAGGTTTTACATTTCACTTCTCAAATCCAAAATGAATATCCTGTAAATGGGAACTTATTAAGTTTCATTTTTCGTTTCTTTTTTTTTTTTTCGTGAATTTTACAGCTCCACGCGGGAACTGCTTCATATGTTTGAACTCACCTCGGTAGGTAGCCTCTTTCATTCTTATCGCGATGAACAACTTCTGAGTAGTTTTGCTCAAATCTCCCCGTTAGAGGCGGCAGACAAATTTGACAATATACCAATCTACTCTTTGTTTGCCTACAGATGGATGCATTGTTAATCTTAAGGATCATGTATGATTTAAACGTAAGTATTTTCTACACTTTTTTTGTTGCTCTTTATAAAAACTTTGTTTCCTTCAATGTTGCAAGTTTAAATGTACGCAGGTTTTTAACGTTGATTTTTTTATTTTTTCTCAAGGTTTTGCCCCTGGCTTTGCAGATAACAAACATTGCTGGAAATGTTATGGTAAGCATGTTCATCAGTTGTTGCTCCTAACTATTATCTTTTACATTTAGCGTTTGAGAGTTTCTATTATCACTCTTTCAATTTGGAAAATTCACTGCATTGTTTCTCATCACTAGATCATCCTCAAGCATTCAAATTTCCGGGCTTTTCACGTCTTTTTTTATGGGAATGGCCAAGAAAGTTGACCTAGATATTCTTGTGTGATGCTTATACAGATTGTTGCGTTCGTGAAACCATTTGTAAGGAAGCGAGACGCGTCTACCTGTGTAGCGCGCGCAACTTGAATTCGAGGCTTGTCTCCATAGAAACGTTATTGTGACCTTTTCTCATTTAAGATCTCGTCGCGGCATGTTCCAACCGACCCATGCGCTAAGACGCTTTAAATGAAATTCAAACGTTAAACATTCATTGCTTTTGTGCTTAAGCCCCGAAATTGACGCACAGCAGTAGCTAAATATTTTGTTCTTCGTTTTTCAGGCTCGAACGCTTCTTGGTGGCCGGTCAGAGAGAAATGAATTTCTTTTGCTTCACGCCTTCAACGAAAAGTAAGACTTGTCAATTCTTTTGGCCGTTTCTTTCTGCAAGGGGGGGAGGGGTAAGAGTTCGTCTCAACCGAGATTTCAAATCAATTTTTTTTCTCCCTTTTTCCCCAAACCCTGTGAACTGTTTTTCAACATCTTTATCACAACACCAAAGTGTTGTGTCTGATTGTTCATTAAATGACTGTGAATGTACGAAAATTGTGTATGTGAACTGGGGATCAAGTCATTTATCACTTCATGGGCTTATTGCGAACCATGGCTTGTAGCTCAGTAAGTAGAGCACTACACCGGTTTCGTAAAGGCCAGGGGTTCAAATCCCGTACAGGACTGAATTTTTTAGGCCTATTTTCACTTCTGCTCAAGTAGTGTTCAGAACTGCGAAGATAGCTTTGAAATTCATTTGATTGTTCATTGTTGCAAATTTAGAACATGGTTATTGTAGGTGTTAGCCTTCGCTAGCCTGCAAGCAAGCCCTCGTCATTAGCACCTGTAGCGCTTCGGCAGGAGTGTTTCTTTTCATCGCTCGCGGGAAAACACGAGGCCTCGGCGAGAGTCGGTGAAAGGTCTGCAAAGGGTCTAGCACCGATGATGAATATCAGTGCCAGACCCCCGGCAAATCTTTCACCAACTTGTCTCCAGTCCTCGAATGGGCGGAGAAACGCGTGCGTCCTGCTTCGATAACGATGAGGGCTTGTTTAGAGGCTGGGCCTTAATGGCGAAGAGCAAGTGTTCGAACGAACAGCTTTGCGGGGAACAAAACAGCCGATTTCTTGTTTCCTTATGCATCCATCAACTTACTTTAATCACCTACTTTGGCCTCCGTACAGAAATGTATTTCTCTTTATTACGAAATTTCAAGTATTGTTAACAGTGACTATATTATTTATTTGTTTTATTTAGGAATTTTATCTGTCCAGATAAAAGTTACGGCAAGAAACAAGTGGTATAAATATTTTTGTTTTTGCTTGTTTACTCGAGGTTCCTCTTTTCCTCTCTCGATATTTCTTTCCTCCAGCCATTTATTCCTGAATTTCTGTTTCCTCCAGAAGTTTAACTCGATAATAGTGTGATGTGTTTTAAACACGAAGGCGCGCTATATAAGGAAGTCTTCCCTGGGAAGACCTGGGCTCATTTGTCACTCACCGTTAACGTGTGCGGGTGAAATTTAAATGCTGGTAGACGAACAAAAGGAGCTAATGAGATATCTATTGTTTACTTCCACCAGCATGGTGGCATGAGGTAACGTGCGAACTTCCTACTTCGATCTCAAATCTACCACCACAAATAAAGACAGTTTCCATTGGAGAAAGGAAATACAAATGTCAAAAATTCTTGTATTGTGACGAAGACATAAAACAATTTTGAGGAATGCGCCCGCTGTTCACTGCTTTGGAGTAGCTGTAGCTCAAGCTGACTTGACTCTTAAGAGTTCTACATCACACGACGGTTGATTGACAAATGGTCCAGTGGGACCTAAGGCTCCTTTTATAGCGCG